TCCAAGAATGTCTCTTATTTAAAGGGCAGGGCTCCCTCCACTGTTCTTAAATAAAGGCTCTGACTGTCTGAGATCCAACCCTTTCTGATTTTCACAGTAACATTGTAAGGCTGTATGAAGAGAATTATTTAATGGAAAGAAGTTTTGCATATGATTCCCCTATCACAAACCTGCTCAAGTCATATGGTTTGATTTACATTTATGCAAATGTCAGAGAATAGAGTAAAATTACCCAAGGCAGAAAGGACCGTGGCAAGTCACAAACAAGATGTGCCTATTTGCATTTATGTTTGCTAATGAAGTTCAGCCAGGGCTTGCTCTTTGATTTGGATGTCTCTGTCTGCCATTCCACTTTATGCACTGTAATTAAAACACTTGCCCACACACATGCAAGAGGACACCAAGAAAGGCAGACTTCAAGTTTTATAAATGCTGTTCTGTAACTCACTTATACAGGGCTTATAATTCAGGATTTAACATCTCTAAGTGATACAACAGGCCTGCAGTGTGACATTGTGCTTAACTTTAATGCAAGAAGAACTGCAGACTTAAACCAGTGTAGGATTTGGCCCAATAAACTTTGGTGTCTCATGTGCCCGCTGGAGATGTTCTACCCCAGACTTTCCAAAGTTTATCCCAAATAAAAATTAATCCTCAGCCCACTCAAAAATCACAGCTGTTTCTCTCTCCTGCCAAAATTATTCTTTCTCATCATGCTACAGCTGTGAAATTATGCACTAGTGTAAATTAACTGGAAACCATTTCTAGCTGAGGTGCCTGTTCAGAAGTCTTGGTATTCTAATCTACTCTGTTCTCTCATTGAGGAGTACTCACACATCTCTATGTTTGGCTAGGACTTGTTTCTGTAAATCATAGAATTACAGACTGGTGTGGGTTGGAAAGGACCTGAAAGATCATCCAGTTCCCACCCCCTGCCATGGGCAGGAACACCTTCCACTATCCCAGGTTGCTCCAAGCCCCATCCAACCCGGCCTTGGACACTTCCAGGGATGGAGCAACCACAGCTTCTCTTGGCAACCTGTGCCAGAGCCTCACCATCCTCATAGGGAGCAATGTCTTTAATATCCAATCTAAACCTATTCTCTTTCAGTTTAAAGCCATTTTCTTAGTCCTAAATTGCTAATAAACACAATTATCTATCCCTTAAATTGTCCTATATGCTCTTCAGTAAGCTGTCCCATTTCATGGGACCTACTGTGAGGACAGGAATTTTGCTGCCCTTTTCTTGGGGTGATGCTTTTTGGTCCTTAATGACACTGCCTTGGGATACCACTACAGGAGAGAAATGGGACCAGAAACAAAAGGAGTAGAAAATGGATGATTTTTCATTAAATGTGAGGATTTGTTTGGCCAAGTTCTCTTGTGCCATGCTGGCTTTTTAAGCTGTTAGTTCTTCCTTCTTTCACCAAACTAAGGGCAAAGCAAGATGTTGCTTTTAGGCAATTGACAGCAGTGAACACTGCCCATCTTTTCTGCTTCATTGTGCTTCCTTTCAGATTGTTGGAAAGAAGCCTGCCTTCATTGATTAAATAATTATAGCATTGCCAGAGAGGATCCTGTGTCAGAATCCAATGTGCTTTGACAATTTGAAGGAGCAGTATTTCCAAGAGAGCATTCCTATATAGAGGATGCCTGAGAAGGTTCTTCACAAGATGCCTTCATGGGGTAGAATCATAGAATGGTTGGGGTTCGAAGAGGTGTTAAAGATCTGGTTCCAACCCCACTGCCATGGGCAGGGATGGACCCACTAGGTTAGGGTAGGACTGGGAAGCAAGGACTACGAAGCAAAATCATCCCAACTCTCCCCTAAATGGGAGCAAGTGGTAGGAGTGGCCTGGGCAAGATGAAGGTCATGTTTCTGCTTTCTGACATTGTCACAGCTTGTGCAGCCTCTGGCTCTGATGGCAGAAATCTGTCCTTCTACCTTCAAGGAGGTCAAAGAAAAGCAAGAAAAATCCTGTCATGTCATATCAAGGAGCAGGTAGAGTTTCTCTGAGAGCTAGATTAGCCAAATAAGGTTAGATCAACTTTTCAGGGCATGGAAGCCATTCTGGGAAGGCAAACTGTCTAATTTGTGCCAGGTTAGGTGATTCCCCATGTCTGAAAGCTGGTCCCTTTATCACCCCTTGCACTCTTGGGTACAGCAAGAGGCTGACAGAACAACCATAGCAGGAAAAGTCAAAGCACAGCCTGGTAGTAAATTTTAAGAGAGAACACACAGAAAATTTGGATGCAGTAGACACTTTTCCAAAAGGGGCTCCAGGAGGAACCATGGGCTTATGTTATCTCTTGACAGCAAGACATATCCAGCAAAATGGCTACAGCTATTTTAATCCCACATCAAGAGCCTGCATCATCCTCTATCTGTAATTCTGAGCCAAATAATCATATTTAAAAAAAAAAATTAAAATGTGGATGCTGCCCAAGTGGCATAAAGCACCCAGAAGTGTCATCCAAACCCTCTAAATTATCTCCAACCACATTAAATGTCTGCCACATCCATCTAAACTCTTGCAAGGGCACATACACATGTGAGTTTTATGAAAAACATCTTGCTGTTTCTCTTCATGATTCTTGGCATGTAGAGATCTGTCTTTCAGTATCACAAATTCAGCTGTATAGATCTTAAAGATATCTGGTATAACTCAGAAAGATGGGACGTCTGTAAAATACTTTTGCTTTGCATAAAAGCATTTTGGAGGTTAACCTTTATTATCTAGTAATGTATCAAAATGAGAGTGAAGTGTTATCTTGTTATGGAATGGGATGAATCAAACTCCCTCCTCTGAAATACTGATTTTCAAAACAGTTACCTTTATGCTGAGTTTGAAGGTATGGATGGTTTCTGGGTAAAATGGCTCAATTTATGGCTAAATTCCATAACAAAATACACATATATCAGAATCACTTTGTCTGGCTTGGGAAGGAAAAAATGTGTTGTTTTCATTATTGCTGAACTTCATAATGGCTTCAGGAATTTTGTTGGTCCTTTCCAAAGAAAGTGAACTTCAGGCAGAGATTAAAGCAGAGGAAATTTCAGCCCAAGGGCAAATGTTTTAGAAAGTTTAAAGTATGTGAAAGGGGGAGTGAAGTAGGAAATAGTTTTCAATCCTAACTATAGCCACACTTGTTATAATATATCACTAAATATAGACTGGTGGGTGTGCCCAACTCTCCAAAGGTGTTATCCTGCCTGCCATGAAACTGGCTTCTGAAATGACCTTTGCAGGGCTATTACTGTCTGTACAACACTGCCCATGTTGGAAAATGTTAAACTTCATTATTTCCCAGGTGAGCCCAGCCAAGCCCAACTTTGCTTCACAACCAAAATTCCTTTCACAAAATTCAACCTTTTATCTTTCACATAGATCCAGCTTTGTACTCAGGATCATTCATCTCTGAGCAAACTGCACAGTAGTCCTGAATATTTTGTTTATGTGTTAAAGGTTGTCACTTGGGTTATAAAGCCCTCTGAAACTATTGGGGTCAAGCAGTTAAAAACATTACTTTTGCATCGACTTCCAAATGCCAGCCATAATGGTTTGGGCAAGCGGAACATCCAGACTGCCTTGGACTTTCTGCTTGTGGTTGTGGGAATATATTGGATCCTTTCAAAATTATTGGCTAGTCTGTTTTGGGAATTTCAAGTTTGGGTATAGAGTCTTTGGATTTATTTTGTGTTTTGTTTGTGGTGATACTGTCATGTCTTGGCTGTATATCCCAGAGCTGATGTTCTGCTCTTTGACTTTAATGCCATATGCTGCCAGATCTCCAGGCTGAAGTGTGGTGTTAATGTAAAGGATGCTGTAATGAACATCTTGTACATATTTCCTTTTGCATATTCACTGTCTGTAAAATGTCTCTCTGAATACATCCTTGCTGGTTTTGAAATTATTTCTTTGCAGTTCAGTATAAATGCTATTTATATCCAAAGTTGGTTGAGGTTATCCTTTACTCCTAATGTTACTCTAATTCTAGTTTAAGAGAGAAATTGATCTGGCTGAAATTAATTAGGAAATTGGTAGAGCCACTAAAAATGGTGGTTATATATGGCACTTCCTAAGTGCTTTGACTGAAGAGGTACAAAATAAATCCGATGAAGCACTAACCATAATGAAATAGATGACTACATTTTCATTTTTAAAACAGGATGGCTGCTGAAGGTGAACCAAATAAAGCAAAACTATTTAAATTCTATTGCTTTTTTAAAGATATTGTTAATAGAAAAAAAAAGTATTTTTTAAACTGAGAATATCTTCTTACATTATAGGGTTTCCAGTGGCATTGAAAGGTATAGTTCCCTATATTGATTCAGAAAGAGCTGTTAAAAATGCATGAAAGGTATTTTAGGGAGACCGTACCACAGGATCTTTTAAAATTATTTTCTCAAGAGCCACTTGACTCCTGTGCTTCTTTACCATTGGAAACACATCATCCCAGGTTACAATATATGGGATATCAAATTATTTCCTACTGGCCAGAGAGTCTTTAAGATTAATTTGGGTTTGGAGTGGTGGGAATTATACCAGTGTCTGTTTATATAACTTTAGACTCAGACTATAAATTAAATTTGGCAAACTGCAATTAGTCAATAATTTATAGAGTGTTCAGGTAGTTTAGAAATGATTCTAGAACATGGTGAATAGACAATAAATTCTTATAAAGGACAAACATATTCAGCATAATGGTGTATTTTTGGCCTCATCTATTTTGCAGGCAATTAACAAAGGAGGATGTTACATTTTGCCTATCTCTTGCTCTCCTGAAATAGTCACTAACCACTTGTTAACCACAGATTTTTTAATAGGCGAAGTGGTTGCTTACAGCTTCCCCGCCAGAAATGTTCAGATTAAGCACACTATTAGATTGCAGCCAGCATAGCCTACGAAACAGGAAGAAAGCCTTGCCTTTCTCTCTGCCTCCTTCCCTTGTTTAAGCTGATGTGATAATTCACTGCAGATTTTCTCTTTCCCTGACAGAGTGCCTACCGCAGGAACGGGATGACTTTTCTCGCCTGCTGATGTGGATGTGGCTGCAGCAACAGGAAAGACAGTATTATATTAAGGTGATTTTCTTTTCCCCTCCATGGAAGGAAAAAAAATACAAGCTCCAATGTCTCCATGTACCAGTGAGTGGGCTGGTTTGTTGTGACTATCTGCTGGCTGTCTCTGTCTCTTTTTCCAGCCCCCTCAATCGTTATTCTTGTTTACTAGCTGGAACATTTAGCTAATTAATGGCAGGATGTTTGGGATAGGGTGTAGGTGGACAAGAATGCAGTTCAGACAATGCTGAAGTTTGCAGGGGACTTTCTGACTGCCATGTCATTTTTATTTAAGTGTCTGAAAGTCTGTATGTTCTCCAAAAGATGTTTTTTGTAAAGCAGGATGGGGCAGGAAGAGGCCCGAGATAGATGAGGTTGTGTTAGTTTATTAGGTTGTATAAAGGTTACGTAGTTTTCTTTGCAGTTTTAACATAAAGAAAACTATTTCCCCTCTATTTTCTACTAATTTCCACTTGTTTCTCTCAATTAATATAAGTGTTCACAGAGTGTAACTCAGTTTAATACAGTGAGGGGATTTTGATGACAGCCATACCAAGTTTGGATGCAAGGATAGTCAGAAAAGTTCAGGTAAACCAAACTTGACCAGTTAAGAGACTTGGCGTTTTGCAGACCCAAAGATGGGCTAAGTGCTCACACCCAAATTTTCAATATTGGCATCTCCTAAGGTTTGAGCCATCATTGTCCAAAATCAAAGAAAGCCTTTGCAGTGACTTGGCACTGGATTGGACCCCTATTTGGAAAAATACAGCCTGAAGTGTTTCAATAACTGTGTCTGTCTCAGTGGTTCTAGGCAAGGACTTAACGCTGTGTACTTGCTCAGCGTTTGCTGCAGGAAGCAGATGTTGTCCCTGTTGTTGACAAAGGCAGCATTACTGTTGGATTTGGTTGAAGAAGAAACCAACTCTTTTTGCCTTTTTTTATATTTTAGCTAAAGTTGTTTGTTTTCAAGATTTTTTTTTTTTTAAATCTCAGTCACTGCCTCTATGCTTGTTCCCGTCCCTTTGCTCCTCCAGCCTTTGCTGGCCTCACAAACACATTCATTTCTTCCCATAAAAACTGTACAAATATAGAGCTAACCACGATGATGCTTGAGCAGAGAAAAGGGCTCCTGCTTCACCAGGATCTGCTGGCACGTCCTGCTGGTGTCCCTGTGGTACCCACAGGTCAGGGGTCTTCTTCAGCTGCCCTGAGATCAACCTTGGAATTCAACTTAAGCCTCAAGTTAATCTAGAGCACCCAAGGGATCAAGAGGAGAACAGAAAAGTATTTTATATAATGCAGCCATCCTCCTTTGTGCTTAGTATGTGAGGTCTTAATTTTCAGTCCTGCTCTGGACTCTTGTGGTCTTCTGTAGGTGGTTTTGTTATCCTGCTTTCCTGGACTTACTTGCGAAAACTTTAAATATATGTATATTTTTTAAATAAATGGAAAAATGTCTCTTTGCAACCAGAATATTGTAAAAGTGAACATCATCCGTCCAATATTGCTGCCGTTCATTAATTGCTTTTCTCTTTTATCTGCTTAGGCTTCTGTTTTCTGGAAATTTTCTGTGTGTAAATGACTAAAAGTAAAGTGTACAATGTATTAAACGAGGGCAGGGGGAAGTTTTCTGATGTTCCATTTGTGCTTCTTGAAATATATGATTAAACTTTTCTTTTTATCATCACTCTTTATTTTTGTTGGCATCCTTAATCATGGAAAATTATATGCTTGCTGTAAACATCCAGACTTTTTTAAAAGGACACCAGCATTTATTGTATTTGGTTTCGATCTGTAGGGATACAGACTGAAGAAACCATTTCAGGAACTGGGTACTGGAATCAAAATTCCTTCTGTTGCTGTCTCTCTCCCAGATTTTACATTTTAAAATATGCATAAGCAGGAAAAATACTGGCACTTATTTTTAACTGGTCTCCTTAAAGTCCCAGAGAATGAAGACTCAACATACATTTCTCTGAGAAATATGACAGATCATGTTTTTGTTGGTCTGCTGTGTGTTTGTCTATCTTGAACAGCCTGACAGGCAATTATTTATAAAATCTGGGTTTGCCCAGTAAACCCATATAATAACCTTTCACTTCTCTGCACAAGTCAGGGAGCTGAATTTAGAGTCAAACAAGGTATGTTAGTTATGTCTCTCTATCTTGGTCTAACCCAGTTTATTCTTATTTTGGGAAGTAATCACTTTTTTCCTCATCTTCAGAGTTTTCTTTAACTCTGTTTAAAAGAAAAATGTAACCAGTAAAACCAGCAAAATCAGTGCTGCATTTGGAGTGTTTCTTAGCACTACTTCCCATGCTGCAGAAACAGAGATGTATGTTTACGCTGGTGCTACACATTTTTATTATATTTATAAAATTCAGCTTGAGATTCAGTTAATGGCTGCATATGAATAGCTTTACACTTCTGTAATTTCAACTTGCAAATCATTTATATTTTAGCCAGGATTTATAGCTACTGAATCAGGTTATGTTGATTATTTCACATTAGCTATCTGAAGAAGGGAAACTTCAGTTTCAGTAGGAATATCACTGTGTATCATATAAGGGAGTGTGAGTTTTACTCTCAGCTCAGTGCCTGCCTTGTTTTGTGGTTATACTACCTGTTTTTTCAGTTTTTCTTCCAGCCATCCACAAAACAGAGATAATAATTCAGCTTAAAACTCATGAGAGGTGAGGGAGCCACAACACAAATTTCTAGTTGAGTTTCATCTCATTCCCTGGTCCATCCTCTGTCAGTCTTTCCTCTGAGAAAATCAAACCCTTTAAAAGACTTTGGTCTTTGTCTGGAAATTGGAAGAAGCTGACAGTGCTCCAGATATTTCTCCAGAGACACTCAGGACCCTCCAAAATGTGACCCCCTGGGTTTTCAGGGCACACTTCTCTTTGTCAAGTGTCCGTCTCACTGAGGGGGAAAATAAAAAAATGTGTTTTGGCATTTCTTGGTGTGGATGAACCTTTGTGTTGCATTAAGGTTCTGCCATCAGCCGTGTGTACATCTCATAAAATGGTTTATAGTTTCCTGTCCAGCTCATAGAGAATGTTTCATGGTACATAAACACTCCTAATCATAAATTCAGAATAAATAGATAATGACATTAGTCACAAGTCCAACTTTAGCTGAAACTTAAACAGTTACAGAGTTGGGGGTGTTTTTGCCTGAATGAATCATCTTGTCCAAAGTTGGGCTTTTTATACCTCTACTTTTTATACTTTTTATACCTCTGCAATATATCTACCCCAGGCAGCAGTGCAGCCAGGGAAATGCAGTGGTGGCATGCATTAAATCCAGGTTTATTCAGAGGGCACAGAGCCAGCACAAAGCAGTGAAGCTATCCCTGAAGGAATTGAATGTAAATTTGATGGTTTAAATAAGGCCAGATGCCTTAAAAATTATTTTGAAAGCTGTATCTTTAATGTAGCTCAACTTTTTTCTTTTTTTTTGCTTGAGATAATGATGTTGCCTTTACAAACTAATAAGAAAAAATAGTTCTCATCTCTTGTGGGGAGACAAAAATCAGATACTTTGGTTTCTATAAATCACTGAAATCTTGGCAACTACTGAAACAAAGTTTTAGAAGGCAGATATCTGCAAATTTGAAGGAAACCTTCATATTTTACTGGTAAAAGCTTTTCAACTGTCTAGAGAGTGCTCAGAGACACTACATTAATAGCCCTTCTCAATAATCAAGCTCTAGTATATTTATATACTATTTTTTTTAAACAAGATAGATTAGTAGTGAGAGATCGAAAGATAAATAAGGAAAATAAAGAACTAAAATTATAATAATACCGTTTCATTTTACATTTTATAGCTCTCTTCAATATTTGTGATTGATAATTCATTTTAATTCCTATCAGACAGAAATATTGGCACAAGAATCTTATATCAATATCTGTGTACTTCTGGAGTTGTCTTCATCCAGATGCTTTGCAAACTTTTCTTACTGGTTCAGTGAAGATGTGATCTGTCAATCTTTGGTCCTAGTATGACTTTGATTACTGTAAGATCTGAGTGCCTCATGGGTTTCCATGTGTTTATGTCCACAGCACAACTTTAAAATAATGTGTTGTTAGCTTCATTTCTTCTGGGGAAAGGCTGAGTGATGGGCCACATGTTGGGAAACCTGGACTGGTTCAGAAATTTCTCAAATCCATAATGATGCTCTCAGTTCTGAAATACCTTCCCTCTGCAGTGAAAGCAGTAGGTGTGTCAGAGAGCACATAACCCAGCCCTGCAGGCTGGAGGAGAAAGAGACAAAAGCAGTATCCAACTGCATCCAGGAGAGGAACTGGACATGGAAGAATGCAACCACTCAATCTGGATTCAATCCAGAGCTCAAGACTTTGAAAACTTCTGGCTGAGATGGGCACTTGGTGACCCCATGCAGAAACACAAAATAAAAGTTTTCACCATAGCATGGACTGTGCAACACCTTCCTTCCTCCAAACTATGCTGGACTTCCAAAATCACCATGAGGGATGTACTCATCACAAAAACTCTGCTTTGGCAGTGCCAGGGCATTCTCACCTTCATCTCCTCCCAACCTGCTTTTGCAGAGTGCATCAGAGCACAAAGAAATGAGAAGAGAAACACAATTAACAAACGTAAATGCCCTCTTTTAAATGAGGCAGCAGCTGCAATGGGTGTTGACAAAGATAAAGTAAAATGTTAATTTTTAGTAGATGAACTGGGTGTGAACCCAGTAAAATGCCACTGAAGTGTGGTGGGTGATCCTCATCTGTAACTAGACCTGGAAGAAGAGAAGGTTTAAGACATCAGAAGCTGTAGTGAGATTCAGATAGTCAGCAGTCAATAACTGGCTCAAACCAGTCCTGTTTAGCTCTCATTTCCATAAGTATTTAATTAATCTGCAAAACAAAAAAACTCCAAAGAAATTATTGCCTTTCTTGTACTGACACGATTTCTTCAGATCTGCAAATGAAATGGCAGCAACTGCATGTGAAGCTGAGGTGAAAACAAATCTGAAACATCACTGCAGAAAGAGAAGGAGGGTGTTTAGAGGAGAGAGGCTCCAGCTGAGCTTCCCCCTGAACTCCCTTGCTCAGATCATTGTGTATCTGCTGATCAGCAGTGCCTTAATCTGCTGCTCGTGCACAAATTTTGTAGTAGCTTCAACTGAACAATTTTAGCAAACTAGACATGATCTGTCTAGTGTTCAGCTTGCCTTTAATATTAAAAGAATTTATACTCTTCTGTTTTGGAATGGCATCAACATAGCCCTAAATTTTCACTCTCAGCAGATTTTTGTGTAGACAGAACACAAATAAATGGAAATAATTATTAAGGAATGCTTTGAGCAAAAGACCTGGGAAAGAGTCTTTGACAGTCAGTTTCTCCATGGAAGGTGCTGCTTTTATTCATCTTTTCTGGGATGGTGGCAAAACTGATACATGGCTCCTGTAGGGCTTGAACTTGGACAACAAACAGTTAAGGTCAACCTTGAGGTCTCCCTCAAACTCATGAGCATCCCACTTGTCTCCTCACTGTGTAAATCAGGCACAAGCCCAAGAGGAAAAACATGACAGATTCTTCCAGTGGAAGATCAAGAACCACAACACTGAATATTCCAAGGTAAGGCAGAATAAAATAACCTTGGTCTGACTGGGCTCAGCAGCAGGTCGCTTAGGAAAAAACTCTATTTTTTTTCCTATTTGACAATTACATCATAATTATTTCCACACTTTGGTGATCAGAACTTTGGCAGTGAAATAGTTGAGAATAGTTAATTCTCATGTGTAGTCAACTTTCAGAGCCAATACAGTGGTAAACAGCTCTCTGTCCTTCTGCACCTGTTGTTTTTGACTAGTGGGTTAAAAACCTCACATTTTAGGGCACTTGGACACTACTTGGGCACATGTATTTTGGGGCAGTCTGGGTTGGTTGCTTTTATTCACAGTACCCAGATAAATACGTGTAGCCATCTAAGCTAGTCCACCTTGCTCCATTGGCCACCCAAAGTTATGGTAGTGAATATGAAATTTGGTATAAGCAGCCAAACTTTTGAATTTTTGGCCAATGTCCAAACCTTCCCAGTTTTTACCATGACTGGTTTTTATAGGTGTTTTTTTTTTTACAGTGTTGAAGTTGGGCTTGTAGATGATGCTGGATTAATTTTTATTTTGTTGAAGCTTGTTTTATTTTCCACTTAGGTATGTAGTTGTGGTGCATGCTCTGAAGGAATTTTTCATCTTAGTTGGTTTCTTTGGTGGTCTTGAAGGAAGGGCAAAATTAATGCAGCACTTAAAGAGCCTGTTATTAAAACTTTATTCATAGGTGAGCAGGAGGAGCATAGAAAATATATTAATTTATATGCATATATATTAAATAAATATGAATATGTATGTAGTCATATTTTTTGTGAGGCCTGAATTCCAAAAATCATTTCTGCTTTTTAAATCCAAAAGCAAACATAACCCTGTTTTGATACCTCCCTCCCTCTGCAGTGAAAGTGGTTTATCCTTGTAAAGATAAAATATTTTTACTTCGTGGAAGTAATTTGATTGTAAACTTTGGTTTCTTTGCTGTCTGTCATTTTTCTCTTGCCCAAAGTTTAATATCATACTGTGAATCTTTAAGAAATTGTGAAACCTCCTGAAGTTTTAGAAAAAACACCTTTGACCTGTATGAAAAAGGCATTTTTGAATCTACAAATTGTTGGGGT